TTGAGACCTACCTGTAACAATGACATTGAAGAGGCACCTAGCTTCATTTCCTGCAAGGTCGGTGAATGTGTAGGTCACTGTCGTGGTACCGATCGGGAAGACTGCTCCAGGGCTGTAGTTGCTGGTGGAGCTCACGGAGCCGGACTCGTCGGAAGCAGTAGGGACTGTCCAAGATACGGAGGCGCCTGTGGCGCTGGCTGCGGCAAGGGCGGTGACGGCGCCTTCAGGGCAGTTTGAGATGGTGGGTGGCCTTACGTCACCTCCAGCTGCGAGAGAAAGACGAATGACAGAATGAGATATTTCTCATCAATTTAATCCTCGTCATTATCCAATATTTCTGTGAAAATGGAAGTTGAAGAATTTGCCCTCGAACACTTGCAAGTTGTGCAAGAGATAACTAACAGACATTCTTTAATCAGAATGTTATGAAACCAACTATTTTTCCTTATATTTTCCTCTCAAATTTGTAATTTCCCGACTTGGAATGAAAGGAAAGTGATTTCATGAAATACAGTCCATCCCTTCTTAGTGGCCACCTCTCTATAAAGGCCATATGACTATAGAGGTGATGTAGTTGGTCTCACTTGGGAAAGAAAATGTATGTTGTAGAACCTGTCTATGAAGGCCACTTTAATATTCGGTTTCCCTTGTGTGACCTTAATAGACTGGTTTGACAGGTGGTTTGACAGGTGGTTTGACAGGTGGTTTGACAGGTGGTTTGACAGGAATAGTGGGGAAGAAGTACAACTTACAGACAACTTGCATGTTGAAGGTACAGTCACTGGTCAAGCCAGCGTTATCGGTGAAAGTATAGGTCACTGTGTAGGATCCTACAGCAAAGGACTGGCCAGGAAGGTAGTTGGAATTGACCGATGGTGAGAAACCAGAGTCGTCGACGGCGGTGGGTGCGGGGAAGTTGACGACAACTTCGTCAGCACCTAGGGTCGAGTAGACAAGCGAGCCGGAGGGGCAGAAGGTGACGGTCGGGGACTGGTTGATGAGCTCAACTGTAAAGAACAAGAACAGGAGAGATTGGTCAAGTCAAAGACACATAATCTCTGCTTCTCAACTGAGAATTTGACACTTTTATTTGTCTAGCCAGTGTCATCAATCACTAAGAATAAACTTCAGATTTACAGACAGGTTTCTTCATTAATTTCTTTATAATCAGTGGCTTTTAGAGTAACTGCATTTTGCTATTCTGATAGTGAAGTTTGATCAGGAAAGATCTAAGCGCAGAAATAAGATTGAATATCTTAATTTCTACACAAATAGAACATTTAAGATTCAAGGTATCCCTGAAGAATAGGTATGTATCTACCAACAACACGGTTTACTGATACATTATGCTAATAAAAGCATTTCTCACATGTTTCCCTGTCAAAGGGAAAGAATACTTACCAACAACCCTGACAGAGAAAGTACAAGTGTTCTGGTTTCCTGCATCATCGGTGAAGGTGTAGGCAACAACAGTTTCACCCACTGGGAAGCTCTGGCCAGGGCTGTAGTTGTTGGAGACCCTGACGGCGGTTCCGCTGTCATCGGTGGCTGAGGGCTCGATCCAGGATACCTGGGCGTTGGTGCTACCTCCGGTGGCCTGGGCGACTGTGGTGGATGGGCAGTTCTGGACGACAGGTGGTACGTTGTCGGTCTCTGCCACTGTGGATAGAAAGATTAAAAAGGCATGATGTATTGCCAATTGTTTTTAATTTAGTTCAGTCATGCCAAATTGCTTCTGTGCCATGGGCAACACATCCCATCTATTAGAATATATCAACGGTGTATGTTTGCACTAAGAAGAGTAGATTTTAATTCCTGACTTTCCTGAAGATTGTTCCCAAGATAAGCCATTAAAGTCTAATCCAAACAATGAATTACACTCCACATTTAACTAAGATGGGCATTGAGCTTTAATATCAGCCATCTTTTTGTTATTGTGTGAAATCTTCAATATGATTTTCATGTATAAACATGTATGTTCAGGAATGAAACAATTATACTAAGAGTAAGTCTGTGTTCCACTTACATGTGACAGTGACAAAGAAGGAACATCTAGCCAGGTTTGCGCTGTTATCAGAGAAGACGTAGGTGACAGCAGTGTCTCCCAACTGGAAGAAAGATCCAGGAACGTGAGATCGCAGGAAACGCTGCGTGGTGCCGGCATCTGTAGCGGTTGGCTCGAGCCAGGAGACCGAGACACCGCTTCCAGATGAGATGGTACGGGTGATGTCCTCGGGACAGTTGGAGATGGTTGGTGGTTCATTGTCACCTGTACAGAGAGGATGCAGTTGGTCAAAATATTGGTGTGCCACAAGGTTCTTTTGTAGGACCTTTATATCATTATTTGTGCCCCCATATATAAGTTATGGCTTCTTTCCAGAATTCTGCTTTACCATCCTGTCAAGAAGGTTAAATAATCAGCCTCCCCATGGTCTAAATTATTATTCAAGTTGTTCAATTCAATATACTGGTGGCTCCTCATTAGAGCTCTTGCCATTTAAATCCTACCCACACATAGGAGGTCAACGACAAAGGTCAATATGAAAGGCCTGCAACAACAAGACCGTTGGTGTACACAAATGTATGGTTCGTGTCAAAATTACCGGTCATACCAGTATTCATGCCATCAGAAAAATACGACGAAACTCTTTAATAATCAGGGCCAGTGTCCGGTATGAAATACCATCAAAGGTAGTGCCCTTTACATTTACTTGTACTTCGTACATAAGTCCAATGAAGGACCTTAGTCGTCCCCACCTTTTTTCTATTTCACTCTCACTCCATATTCAGTCACATTTTGTTTCAAGCTGTCAAGCATGGTTTACTTACCCTGTGCGACCTCGCAGGTAGTTCCGAAGAAACCGGCTGGGCAGTCGCATTCGAAGTAGGTATTGGAGGGATTGCAGATACCACCGTTCTCACATGGACCACTGGCACATGGGTTGGCAGCTGGAAAATACAAAGATAATCTTATATCATTGCATGAATTTCAAGGCAACAGTACAGCATACTTAGCGAAAAAAAGAGCAAACTATTTCCGATACGCCTCAATATTATTGAACAATTTCCAAAAGTGTTTTCAATCAATTTTTCCCTTTTGTATATGAATGTAGTACTAGCTTGATTTACGTCGTTGCTGAATGAATACAAGACAATTTAATTATTTTCCTGAACAGTGATTTCTCCTTTCTGAATAGAATCTTTTTCAAAATGGTAAAGATACAGAGAAGAAAAAAACAGAAAGCATAAAAAGAAACCAAGGGAAAACGGATAATATCAGGAGGTAAAAGAAAAGAATGTGAGGAAAGGAAAAAAAAGATATGTAAGGAAAACAGAACAAAGTGGGATAAAAAAAGAGAGAAGAGGAGAGAGAGAGAGAGAGGAGAAGAGAGAGAGAGAGAGGAGAAGAGAGAGAGAGAGGAGAAGTGAGAGAGAGAGAGAGGGGAAGAGGAGAAAAGAGAGAGGAAGAAAGAGGAGGCAGAGAGAGAGAGATAGGAGGAAAGCTGTACTTACATGGCGTTTCACAAGTATGTCCAGTCCATCCAATAGGGCAATCACAATAGTAATCCATGTCCTGTGAAAAGCTCTGATACATGTTCTTACATGCTCCACCATTCTGGCAGGCCAACTCAGTACCAATGGTACATACATCCAATAATGGATTGGCAGCTGTAGAGAAAACAATAAAACGTAATGATTAATCCATTAAAACCTGCCTTCGTTGGTCTAGGTCTGTTTGACTAAGGTCTATCATGTCTGTCGCTTTGTCACGCAGTGACACTCCTGGCACTATCCTGGCATTATTTTCGCCCGTCGTTCATAAATTAATACACTGCAGATACGAACAGCAAGACTTCAATAGAGTAAAAATGATATAACCAAAGGAACCAAAAATATATAACAATGCACACAGAACCCAAGTAGAACTTGGGGTCTGCTTTATGCTAGCACTTACGCATGTGCCAAGTAGTCTTTTATCTTAATTGAGAGCATATTTGAAAACTCTCTTCACAGTAGTAATATTTGAAGCTCGTACATGTATTTCAAATAAAGTATTACGACATGGAATTACTAATAACATACAACACAAAATGTTTCTTTCCGATTGGTACACTTTATTAATGCATTAGTTTTGGTACACAAAATGTTTCTTTCCGATTGGTACACTTTATTAATGCATTATTCATACACAAGTGTTGTATATGGTTTTTATGGCGCAGAGGAAAATATATTGATTTAGTATTACAATTCAATAAATATGTAGCAACGAAAATAATAAGCAAATACTTTTGGTTTATGTTAAAATACAGACTAGAAGTAGAGGAAAATAAACTAAGACAACAGATGTAAATACTACTAAGTGGAGGAAGATAATTACTGATTTACAGGAAATATTATTTGATCTCATTTAAACATGTGATTAAGTATTAAGTATTTATGTATGATGTTATCTGGATAAATATTTATTTCAACAAAAAATAGAAAAATACACGTCTAATCCTGTCCTCTCTAGCTCTTGTGGTAGATTGGACAATGTCAATGCTTACCTGTGGTAGATCCACAGTTTGGTCCAGTGTATCCTGTCTCACAGATGCAGGTGTACTGGGGTAGATAGAAGTTAGTTCCGGTGTTGCTATCGTAGCTGTTCACACAGGTGGCTCCGTTCTGGCATGGTGAAGAGTTGCATGGGTCCTGACCTGGAGCGTTGGCTAGATTACAACAGATATAGTAGAAAGAATATTAGAAACTTGTTGGAAGAGAGAAAACGTTCTCAGATTACTGGGTTAAACTAAGAGCAAATGCAATGTACATAAATTTTGATCCTCGATAATCAATGCCTAGTACAAAACCTGATAAGATTAACAAAACAATATGGGTGGTATTCCATACTCTTTTCATCAAAGTCTTTGGTAGATTATCTTTGTCATGAATATTGGAGGAAGATGAAACCGAGCATTCCAAAAAAGTATGAACTAAAATTTTTGTTTAGTCTGGACTTATAGACCGCGGGCCGAGGTGCATTTTCTTTTCATCTCGTGCCTCAAATTTGTATCTAGCTGTATTTTGGTCAACATGTTTAAAAATATTTATTACAGTCACATCTGAAACTCGTCAGTAACAAAACTTGCACATTTTCTGAAAATATGAAAAAACAAAAAACAAATTTGAGACAATTTTTCACTTTCTACGGTAAGAATGACCAATCACAATACGTTGCTGATAGCATGATGTGTGGAGTGACTGGCTTTTGGCCAATCATATTCTTTGTTTTATGCGCACGCCTATGCGACTTTTACTGTGCACTGCGACTTTCACTGTGTACTATGGCGACTTCTGAGTCGTTTGATGCCAGTGAGACGGACAATTCTGAGGCTGGTGAATCCACTTTCTGTTCCATACATGTCATCGATACTCAGAGCAAGATTATACCATTTAGTGATAAAAGCTATCAAAAGTGTAAGGAGTGTGCAGCTAAGTGGGTAATCGTGGAAGAGAGTTTAGAAAGTGAAGTTGCAGAGAAGTTGCAAGAACACGTACACGAAAGTGAAGGTGTGGGACAAGTCGGTCTTCAGTCATCGACAACAAGCAGGTAAGTTATCACCTAATATATTGGTATAGATCTAGATATCTAGGCCTGCATGAAATGAAAAGTGTTCACATTTTCCCCGAAATAAAAATTGCACTTGAAAAAAGAGCAGAAATTACAAATTTGGTCTAGAGTAGTAGAGAACAGACTAGATCTAGACCTCTCATCTACTATGTCTATGGTCCTGGATTACAGGATAGATTTTCTAGGTCTAGATCTACTACTACTAGACCCTGTCCCTACTACTACTGTCTAGACCCTCTACTTTTTTTCGTCTACAGATAAATTATAAAATAGTCTAATTCTTGACTCTTGCTTGTGTCAAGAAATTAAGCCATTTACATAGGCCTAACTACTTAAACTAGGTCCAGCAGTTCTTGTATTTTAGCAGATTGAACTTTAATAGAAATTATTTATTAGTCTACATCTCTCACATTTTCTTTTACTAGGGAGCACCATACTCGGCTTCGAGGATATCATGCTGAATGTTACCGACACTTTTGCAACGTAACGACAATCAGTAGAGCATTGACAAGACTTCAGAAGAAGAGAGGTAATAAACAATGATTAAATGCTGCTAAAATAATTTAAACAGTACAGTACAAAGACAAAGAAGAGAAGGAGAGTGTTTGATCTGTGCGTGTGTGAGGCAGTGCAAAAGAAGACACCGGTAGGTGCAATTGTGCAATAATTGTTCTGCATCTACACATTTAGATCTACTGGCGATTTCAAGTTCAGTGTCAAAAGCCACAACACTGAACTTGAAATGCGGCTGGTGTTGGAATTGACCTCGGAAAATATGTTGTTGAATGTTGTCTGCTGAACCGAGTATCATGGTTCGCTTTGACGATTTATTTGTTATTTCCCTATTCCCCAACACAAATCGCCTAGAGATTGGGAAATTTGTGATTTGAAGTTCGGTGTTGGTGTTGGTGATCTTAAGATCATGAACCAAATGATAACGTCACAGCAAAGTTAAGCGAAATCCAATTTACAGTCAAAATGTTTTACAAATCATCAGAGCTATATATGTGTCTATTTTCTAAAGATTAATAACATTTTCTCTTTTGATTTGAAAATACGATTTTAGATTTTACATCCTGTTTGATGAAATTTGAATGCCATTTCTCACTGATTTCACTTTCGTTGTATAGCCTTTTCGCTTGAAATCGTGAGTGGATCACATAAAAGGCGTGACATCACTCAGTATTGAGCTATTTCTCAAGTACAGTCAGTGTTGGAGCTTGGTTCAGCAGCTTGATCCACACTTTCAACACCAACACCACATTGAGTTATATATTCAGAAAATCAGAATGATTTTGATAAAATTGGTTTTAATCAGTATTTTTTCCCCTGTCTGTTCCTTTCTTCCTTCTCTTTTTCTTGTTAAACCCACAGATGCTGAGAAGACATCTACAGAAGATCCAGAGGAAGTGTCAGCAAGTGAGGATGCCCCTGCACCCAAGAGACTGCTGCGGTCGAGAGTATCCCATGAAAATCAACCCTCTACCAGCCATGACTTTGATAAGCCGCATGTATTGCCAGTCCATTGCATTATCTGCAAAGGAGCTAAGTATATCCGCGAACAGTCTTCTGGTAAACGGAAGGTAGAAAAATTAATTCTTTGTGAAAGAAAAGATGGGGGGCATCTGTTAGAGGCCGCTTTATTAAAGCAAGATGAACAATTGCTTTTACACATACGTGGGAAAGATCTTGTTGCAATAGAAGTAAGGTACCATAAATCGTGCTATTACAGGTATACAAAAGTTGTGAAGAGATGTAATACTTATAAACAGGATACTCAGCAAACAGTAATATATGATAAGTCATACTCTAGTTTCTGCAAAAAGGTAATTGAGGAAAGGATAATGAAAAATAAGGAGATCCTTAGGCTGACTAAGCTGAACCAACTCTTCATCAAGGAAGTCAGGGGAGTTGAAGGATTAGATGCCTCCTCCTTCAAAACCTACCGATTGAAAGCACGATTGAAATCCTGCAAAAACAGGGTAAAGATATGAATATACCAATTTCTGTTCAAACACAGTTGTTTGGGACAACTAAGGTCACACTTGTATGATGTTGTATTTTACTGTTCATGTGATTTATATGAAAACTTTAGAGATTGATGAGGCTTAAAAATTTATAACCACTTTGAATATATAGTCATTTACAGTATTTGTGAGGTCAATGTATATACTTCCAGCAAAATGTTTTTGATGCCCAAGTCTAGTAGTGGTTTATTGACTGCACTGCACATTCAATTGTTTATGGTACATAGTCATTTAGACAAACATAACATGAATCCATTGTTACCATGTTTCACTCAGGTGTACATGTACATGTAAATGGGTACCCATCTAACCAGAGCAGTACATATTTTGTTGCTAGGTATTACTACATGCAGGTAAAGAGAAGTGTCATAAAGCATAACAAGTGCTCTATAAACAGGAACCAATATTTTATTTTGAAAATTCCTGATACATGTTGAGTAATGGTCATTCCCTTTGTCATTCTGGAAAGTATTTGTTCTTCATGTATTTTTTTTTCATCATGACTTGACACTGAAAGTTGTTTCTCAATATGTTAATGTAAGGGAAGAAAATACTTGTAGATGTCGGGAGATAAATGTGTTTTTTGCCTCTATTCACTGCTAAATAAATACATTGTACCATTGTAGGTATAGATTTGAACTGGACATGTAAGTATTTTGTTCCATTGTGAAAAAATATTCTAATTGTGCACTATCGGAGGATTGAGATTAAGTAGTTCACAATTTTGTAAATACCATGATTAGTAATTGAAATGTATTCACGTTTAAGTTTATGTTTTATGCTGTACAAATGTGGGTATCTGGCAATTCTTGTTTTTGTCATCAACGTAATGGAGGGAAAATATTGTTAAAAATATAATTAAATCATCAAATCATCAAAGGCAAGTAGCAAGGAAGTTGATTTATGTCTGGTTTCCATGCCTTGTATGAATCAATGATGGATTTTCTCCCTCTAACAGTACACAATGATATTGAACATTTGAAAGTCATTGTATGAATTAATTCTCTGTATTGCTAGTACAGTAGACTTATACTTGTTCAAAATCTGTTGGGGCAGTTTAATAGATTTGGTATTAAGGAATGAGTTTGATCATTGTTATGAAAAAAACAAAAACAAAACTGCCTGGAAATTTCCTTTAAGAGCCAGAAAAGTGTACCTCATCATGAATACAATTTATTTTTCTTACAATGAATCTACTTCATACTATGCATTACGTCTACTGCCCCCCCCCCCCCCACCCCATTGTCAAAACTTCCTGTGATTTTGCAATGTATTTGAGATACATGTAGTTAAAAGATGATTAAAAATATTGATTGAATATGGAAATTTTGGCTTATCTATCTTGACACCTGTTCAAATTGTGTTTTAATGTAAATTAATTTATTGGATTGTTTGTGTGTGTGTGTATGCACTGTATATATATATATATATAGAGAGAGAGAGAGAGAGAGAGAGAGAGAGGGGGGGGCAGACATACAGCCAGAGAGAGAGAGAGAGGGGGGGGGGCAGACATACAGCCAGAGAGAGAGAGAGGGTGAAGTTTTCAGTATAAGTGTGGGGGGTGCTATATTTGTGATGGGATACCGAAGGATGGTTCAAGTTGTGTAGTAAGTGATGAATACTGGTAGTCAAAATGCATTGAAACCATGATTATACTCATTAAAAGATGTGCATCCTCATGTGCACACATTGATATCCCCCCAAACAAATAAAAACAAAAATGAATAAATACATAAATAAAAGTACCACAGTCTACCAAAGTCCCCATTATCTCCTGACCCCCCCCCCCCCCCTCTTTTCCACTTCTCTCCCCTCTCTATTAATCTCTCTCTTTATTTATCTCTATTTATTTTCAAGATTGTTTTTGTTTGTTGTTTAATCAAAGGGGGAAGTCCATCCTGAATAGAAGCAGAAAAAAGTTACATTGTGGAGTTGTCGAGTTGTGTTTCATTAATCACACCTTCAAAAATTGATAACTTGCTTACTTTCAAAACTTGCTGAAAACTTTCACTGTCGTCTTCCTTTCATTTTTCTGACTTTATTTAAACTAAAATATTTGTTAGGATGGACTTAACCTTTAAATAAAGAAAAATATAACACCAACCATTCCAAGACAGACTTGGGTGTTATTCCCTGGGTGAAACAAAACCTCCAAGTCCAATAAAATCCTGTGGAACCCATTAGCACAACACAGATCTCAAGATTTGAACACAAGAGGGCGCTGTAACTTTTTTAAATTAGCATAATTAATTAATGTGCAACTTATTGCACTGACGAGTTATCAATTGTTATTCAATGATTTTTGTTCTATTGAGTAACAAAAATTTAGGTATATACAAGAGTTGAGGCACGAAAATGAAAAATAAGCCACATATTTGATCTATGGCCCGCGGTCTATTAGTCCTGGCACAATTTAAAGAACACCACCCTATATTGCTAGGTGGTTGCGTTCAGACAGAGTACCAAGGTACAACTGTCAGCATCTTACCTGTAGGAGTCTGGCAGTTGATTCCAGTGTAACCACTTCTACACAGACAGGTGTAGTCGTTGGAGTCAATGTTGACGCACGTGGCACCGTTGGCACATGGGAAGTTGTTGCATGGATTGGTGTTGACGATGGTGACTGCAAAGAGAGGAAGGGATTTCAATTAGGTCAGCTTAACTTATTATATCCAAATTGAAGAATTTCTTATCCATTTGGTTTGATTTTAATAACACATTTGGAAATGAGATCAATATAACCTTAGTCATTAACAGGTTAGTTCCAAGAAAAGTGTACATTGTAAAGTCTTGTGCCTGTAGAAAAAGATGGGCAACATTGGAAAATATGTCCAAATGATTGAAAAAGTATAAACGGTGATAAATTGAGGGGAAGAGGAAGGGAGAGAGGGGGAGAAAGAGGGAGAGGGGGAGGGAGAGGAGAGAGGGGGAGGGAGAGGAGAGAGGGGGAGGGAGAGGAGAGAGGGGGAGGGAGAGGAGAGGGGGAGGGAGAGGAGACAGGGGGAGGGAGAGGGGAGGGAGAGGGGAGGGAGAGGGGAGGGAGAGGGGAGGGAGAGGAGAGGGGAGGGAGAGGGGAGGGAGAGGGGAGGGAGAGGGGCAGGCAGGGAGGGAACAGAAAGAGGAGAGAGGGACAAAGGGAGGGGAAAGAGAGGGAAGGGCTCTGAGAGGGGAAAGAGAGAGGGAGAGAAACAGACAGACAGAACGGTCAGACACTTACCATCCTCACAGTTCACCCCTGCGAATCCATTTTGACATGTACATTGGTATCCAGAGCACACTCCAGCAATTGCTGAGCAGACTCCGCCATTCTGACATGGGCTGTTCTCACATGGTGATGTGATAGCTGAGGAAAAATACAATGGTATAAAATTTGAATATAATCATTAAGGAATATTGAGCTTATATTGATCATGTTAAATAATTTGATTGTAACAGTAGATGGTGGCGTTTTAATTGTAATAAAAGATTTATTAGGTGCCAAATCCACATGAAATCAGATCAAGGTGCATCAAAAGATGAAATATCACATAATTGTTAAGTAGGGCATTATCTACCTTCCCTATGCTATCCAAACTATTAAAACACTTTGACAAAACGTTTCTAGGTCAAATTCAAGAACGTTGAGCCAAGGTTTACTTACGATCTTCGCAGTTGAATCCAGTAAAGCATCCAACGCACTCGCAGGTGTATGAGTAACAGTTGTCACCCAGGACGTTACACTGAGCATTGTTCAGACATGGGCTGGGGCTGCATGGATCACGCACTGATGATAAACAAAAGTATACATATGTGAATGGAATGGTTCATAAATAAAGTAAATTGTATAATATGCCAATATTGCAAAATTATTTTTCTCGTTCTAAAAACTTTTCTTTTCTATATTCAAACAAGGAATCTTACATTTCATATTTATTATGATAAAGCTATTTACTGTAACAAGCCTTGCAAAGGAGCATCAGATTCTCAATCAATAGAACGCTTAACTAATAAACATGTTCAAATTTTATGTATAATTTTGTAACGAAGGGGTTCTTAACGTAAAAGTTTCCTTGATGATTGCCTGACATAGCAAGAAGTAAACCGATCTATTAGGTACGAATCTAGAGGGGTTGACAAAGGATCTTGATTAAGGCGTCGACATTCTTACCTTCATCACAGAGATCTCCAGTGAAGCAACCGGAACACTGACAGGTGTATTCAGTACACAGTTCTCCGACAGCCTCACAGGCAGCGCCATTCTGACACTGGTTATTGTCGCATGCATCTACCTCTGTACAAAAAACAAGGTGTTAAGATAGGGTGTTAAATACATAGTGTCGGGTGTATTCACTACAGGTGGTTTTGCATCTGTTCCGTAAAATGAACAAGGTGTTAAGATATGGTGTTAAAAGCCTACACTGGAGTGTCCGTACATCATGACAAGAACAGATTAATGCATAACAGCAAACAATCTCTGCCAAGTTATGCTTATAATGGAAAGATATTTACTCATTCTATTTTTCTTTTCTTCTAATATTCACTCTCCTTGTACGTTTCTAGAATCTCATACAATACTACTCCGTTTTCGATTTTTAAATTCAGACCTGGTGTTAATCAGTACAGGAGCCTATTCACATACAAGCTATGCTTTTTATTTAGGCTCCCCACATTTTACATTGTTTTTTGTGTGTGGATTCTAAATGCTTGTATAAAAAGAAACTGTTTTTGGATGTAAAATGTGGAATAAATCAACTTGAAACTTCAAACTTACTGGCCTGACAGTATTGTCCAGTGTAGCACAGTGGGCAAGAGCAGGTGTAGGTCAGACAGGTGTTATCATCCAGGACGCAAGCAGCGCCGTTCTGGCATTGGTGGTTGTCACAGGCATCCACAGGCACGTCGCAGTAGACACCCACGAAGCAGGACGGACACTCACAGAAGTAGCTATCGCAGGATCCCTCGTAAGCCATACAGGCGGCACCGTTCTGGCAGAGGTTGGCATCACAGGCATTGAGCTGGGTCTCGCAGTTGGTGCCGGTGAAGCACTCTGTACAGACGCACTGGTACTCGGTCAAGCTGTTGACTACGCAGGCACCTCCGTTGAAGCAAGGGTTGGGTGCACATGGAGTATCTGTGGTGAATAGGGAAATGAATTTAAACCAAGCTGATCTACAGATTTCTTTAATTTTAGATGAAAAGGAAGATACTAGCGATACTATGGAGTGGAGGTTTTTATCCTCACATGAAATACAGAACAAGCGAGAGGTTGAAAATAATTGAGATTCCATTCCAGAAATTTATCCTAATGGCAACCTGCACTACACATGTGTATAACCTATGACGACTGCATCTGCACAATGCCTATTATGCTCATCAGTGTACTCAACATGAATAAAGGAAACAGTGATAGAATTAGGTGGGAATTAAGTGATCACAGCTACATGCCGAGGACAACACTATGTTGTTGCCAATTTGAAAAACTAATTAGCTTGTTTGATCATATTGATCCCTCCCAAAATCAAATCCCACCTGTAAGTACAGTGACGCTGAAGCTACAGGATGCTTCGTTGTTATTGGTATCAGCATAGTTGAAGGTCACGACTGTGGTACCAACAGGGAATGCATCTCCGCTGTTGGCGGTTGATGACACGAGGTTGGTGGCGCCGTTGTTATCCGTCACAGTTGGTAGGTCAAAGGTTACGTAGGCATTGTCGACTCCTTCAAGGACGGTCTGTACACTGTTTTCAGGGCAGACCACGATCGGGGCAACGTCATCAACTGAAAGAAAGAATTAGTGCATTCGTTAGTTAAGAAGGGCCTACCCGTCATTGGTTTAGCAAGGTTTCTTCAAGGTTCTGCACAAAAGATAACCATAATCCAGTTCACACATGTCTTTAAGAATTGATATAAAAAACCTGTTGGGTGTGTTCACAACTGATGTTGGGAACCTGCCTTTTGAGAATGCAAAGTGATTCATGCAGGTGCTGTAAGCCCTTTGCACACACACACAAGTCCTGCGATTCATTTTTGAAGAAATGGCAATTGCATTTACATAGGAAATCAAAACATCTCTGATTTAGCTTCTAAATAACTATAATACTAACAAACAGAATTTTAGTTCATTAAACGCTTCTAGTAAAAATAAAAGCCAAAGTGGGATTCAAATTGTAGGGATAACTGGTCTACTGAGTAACAAGTGGAAGCACACACTCACCGGCAATGACCGTCACAACAAACGAACAGGACACCTGGTTTCCAGAGTTATCTGTGAAGGTATAGGTGACCTGGGTGGTACCACGAAGGAAGAAGCTGCCTGGGATGCTGCTGCTGGTCACAGTCGGGGCAAG